CACATTCTGCATGGAGCACTGGGTGTTATGCACAAACAATGAATCATGGAACACTTCATCTAAAACTAATGATGTAATGTATGGGGATTAACATAAGAAAAAAAAAAAACAGTCCTTCCCTAATAAACTCAGGGTGGCCACATCATACTGTGAAAGAAGGGAAGTTTGGGCCAAGGTGCTCTGGTTGCATTTTTCAGAGCTGTCCCATATCCTTTCTCTTAGTCTCATGTGTTAGAGAGGAAATCAAGGCGCTGAGTATTCATCCAAGAAACCATAGGGCAGAGAGTGCCCACCCACACCAGGAGGGCCCACGGGACAGGTGAAGGGAAGGTCGTGGTCCCAAGCGCCCAGTTGGAATCCCAGCTCTGCCCCTCCCCATCAAGTGGCTTGTAAAGCAGGGATCTAGAAGTTTTACAAAAGGACAATGGAGATGAAGTCAATAAAGTCATAGGATGGCGTCTGGCAGGTAAGAAATATTTAGCTACTGTAACAATCACCATGATTGTTTTCATCTGTAACTGAACACTAAAAGATGATTGTACTCTATTGGGGAAAAGGCGACATGACTTGAAATAAGGCTGTGTACTTGTCAAAGAGTCTCTGCGGGTTAAGGATGAGAAGTATCAACTGGAATTCTAACCAGCCTGTTGAAGCTCAAGCGTCAGAGTTGAACTAGGAATGGCCACCGTGGAATTGTGGCCAGTGCGCCTTTGCTCCTTGGTGTACATGACCTCACAGTCCAAGAAGTGGCCAGGCGTCCTGTTAATAACGCAGTGCAGGCGCTGTTCTCCTGGCCTTCTTTGTAACAACACCCAGAGCCATCCGTGGTGGTGGTGGTGGGTGGGGGGGCCGGGAGTGGGTGGCCAGGAGGCTTCTGGCACTCGACTTCTCTCTTTGGGAAAGTAGTAATATGGGAGCTCCAACTTGCTCATGTGTCGAACTCATGACAACGTTCAGAGACGTGTCTGCTGCCCCTGCCGCCCTCTGATCTGCCAGACAAGCCCCAAGGGCCACACGCTCTGTTCTTGGCCCTTCGTGTCGACATCGGGGGATGGCTGGAATAGAAGATGGCTTTTTAGTGGGCATAGGCAGCCTGAATGCACTGCGGTGCCATTTGGCCTGTTGTCGAGTAGAAGAGGGGCATTCATCTAGCAGAGTGGACGAGTCGGGACTGCTGCCCAATCCAGTCCAGTCCCAGCTTGGCCCGTTACATCTCTGACTGGGCATGTTGCCTTCCCCCTCTCAGTAGAATGGAGATAACACTACCTGCCTCATAGGATTGTTGTGAGGATTCAATGAATTAATGGATGTAAGACCTCGAGAACAGTGTCTGTGCCACTTAAGGGCTTACTGTTATTACCGTTGCCCACCAGGGCATCTCAGGCTGTTCTCGGACATGGCCTGGCCTTGGTCTCTGTTCTGGGGGCCCTGGATTTTGTACATTAGCATCATAAGCCATGAGGCAGTGTTCCTGGGCCAACCCAGGTGTCACTGGATCGGGAGCCAAGAGGCTTCTGGGGTGATTAAAGTTGCCCTGGGCTCAGGGTCGCCAGAGATTGGCCTCCCACCAATAGGGAGGAGCCTTGTCTGGTGTTGGGCTGAAGCTGTACCCTTTTACCCCCTGGGGAGCCTCAAACCTCATTGTGAGGGAGGCCAGGCCTCCTCAGGAGCACTCTGGCTCTCCAGTATTCTAGGAGACCCAGCTTGTGGTGGGGGCTGGTGTCCACACAGCCCTGAGAGGCTGGGGCAGATGATGCGCTCAAGGCAGGTGAGCTGCCCGTGGCCCGAGGTCAGGAAACAGAATGGATTGGGTTCTTCCTGATTTGTTTTTAGTAAACGCCGGCCACAGACGAGTTCTGGGAAATCGTCACTTACGCAAATTTGAACCCCCGCATGACAAACCGGGTCCCTTTGTTGGCTGGGTCCGGACAGGAGAAGTGGCCAAAGGCTTTTACCATTCTCCACGCCCACCCTGTTCTTTCCCACGCTGTGCGTGCGAGGGTCGCGTCTCAGTGTTGTGTTTGAACCACATGGCAGTTGTGGAGTCGGGTGGGCTGACTCACCAGGGACTCTCCTTTGCCTCCTTTGCAGCTGTTTTCAGCATTTTACTCCAGACTCCGATCTTTGACCTTTGGGGAATCTAGAAGAATGATCAAAGATGAGTCCTGAGCAGGATATTTGAAATGACCCAAGGAAGGCCAATCTCCTTATTCTACAGGGGCAGAAAGAGGCCCAAAGAGGAGGATGTGCCCTAGATCCCAAAGGGAGTTAGGCTACAGCCTGGAATAGAGGAAAACGTGAGTGAGGGGACCGTCTCTGTTGACCAAACTGGGTTTGTTCTTTTCTTAAAGAATTAAGCACCTTGTGCCCTTCCTCTGGTTAAAAAAAAAAAAAAATTCAAGAAGCCCTGTCAAAAAAGGCCGGAAAATATAACAGGCTATACTACTAACGAGCACATTTGTCTGGGAACTCTAATTATTAAAAAACGTGTGCTTCTTTGTCAAAGCTGAGCAAGGGCAGGGGGCAGGCAGGAACTTCCTTGTTTCCCACAGGAATAGGAGGGGCGGTGGTCATCAGCCAGGCTTTGGCCCTGGGGACCCGGCCGTTGCAGCGCTGGGAAGAGCAGGGCTGCTTGAAGTCCCGCAGCCGCGAGGACCGTGACCCTCACCCGTTGAGGGGATAGCTGGGGCCTGGCCCGACATTCCTGATTCTGTCTCCACCCCTACCCTTCCGTGGCCAGCAGTGTCACCTGTCCTGGACAGCGCTGCCGAGAATGGGGATGTTGTGGAAACTCGTGTGCCTCCTGGGAGGGATTTCTGTCAGGCCTCCTCCTGAGAGGAGAAAACTGGGAATATCCACAGCCACGGCAGACAGGGGCTTCCAAGAAGGAAACTGTGTGAGAGGGACTCCTGGTGCTTCTTTGGTGGTGAATCTGGGGAAAGTTCGTATAAATTTATGTTGGAAACAAGGTCAGTGAACTAACTAGGGAGAGCTGGCTCTGCCTCTGAGGAGAGGCGAGCTTGCATGCGGTTTACGTGGAGGCCCTCTTCTGTGGCAGCACGTGCCAGGGATGCAGGGGTGAACAGATACACACGGTTCTTCTTGCCCTCGGTGCTTATTATAATTTGGACACTAAGAGATACATATTGTGGGTGGTGTTGGGAAGGGAAAAGTCTGAGTTCTGGGAATAATGGGAGGCCGGACTGTTTCAATAGAAGGCTGAGAGGTCTGGAGAGGGCTGAAGAGATGGGCAGATGGGATAAAGGCTGTAGGACCCATGTATGGGTTCCAGGGCAGGGAAGGACTGAACCAAGGGTAGGGTTTGCGCGAGGGAGTCCAGAGGCGTCCAGTGAGCTTAGGAGGTGGGGAGAGGCCAGATTTTGTGGGGCCTTGGAAGTATTTTAGGTTTGGTTCTAATGGGAAGCCACTGAAAGGTTTCTTTAAGCAGGGGAATGGTTAGAGTCTGGCTGGGGGTAGAAAATGGATGGAACAGGTAAAGGCAGAATTGGGGATTGTGTAAGTGAGACAAGAGGTGCTGGCTGCTTGGCCCAGGGTGGGGGATAATAGGATTGCCATGACTGGCCTCAAGGTGTGTGGGGAACAAGGAGGGTCAGTAATGAATGCCAGTTCCCAGAATGTTGTCAGAGACCCTTAAACTCAACCTTTCTGGAAAGAACTCTTCCTCTTCCCTAATGTGCCTTTCCCCTCATCTTTACCACTCTTCAGAAATAGTTAAACCTATTTTTCTCATTTTATCTTGCAGTTTAGTTCTTTTTTTTTTTTTTTAATATCTTGTCAAATAGATTCCAGTTACATGGCCCTTAATAATAACCTTCTGTACATAACAGGTTTTATTCTTTTGAAGGGCTGAGGGATGTTCCATGACATAGATGTGTACCACACTGATTTACTGCCGGTCTCTAACTCTTGTTTTCCCCCCACCCTTTTGCAGGTTGACCAGTATCTCTACCACATGCGTCTTTCTGATGAGAACCTTCTGGAGATCTCTAAGCGGTTCCGCAAGGAGATGGAGAAAGGGCTTGGAGCCACCACCCACCCCACTGCTTCAGTGAAAATGCTGCCCACCTTTGTGAGGTCTACTCCGGAGGGGACAGGGGCTGCCCCTCAGGGTGCCCCATTGCCGGGGGGAGATTTGGGTGGCTTTTTGTTCAGGGACTGTAAGAACAATGTATCAGCAAAGGTTCTTTGGTTTCACGCCTCAGAAACCAGCCCTGGCTAGGTGAAGCATACAGGAAATTTAACAAAGTCGACAGGGAGGGGTACACAGGAAAACTGGGAGGCAGGCAGCCATGGCAATCAAGGTTGAAGCAAGTGTTTGTCAGCCCTACCAAGGCATTGCTGCCGGCTATTTGTTATCCGTCCCTGTGCTGAGGCAGGCTGATCGGCTGAGTTTGGGAGCTCACAGTCCCACCGAGATTGCACACAGTCATGGTGATGAAGAACAACTGTGTTTGAGATGGTCACAGGCAGAGGCCGGGCAGTCACTCTACGTGGCACATTCCACAGCCTTGCTGGAAACAGCATGGTACAGATTGTCCTGTGTGTTTCTGGAACTCCGTGAAAAAAAGAGTACTTGAAGTCCACATACGCTTGGGAGAACGTGAAGAGCCGCAGTGCATGTCTAGGGATTAAAGGCTCTGAGGGTGCACACAAGAACCTGTCACGCTTTGTTTCATCCCCTTACTTGGATACAGACCCTGTATTTCACGATGCACCACCCAGCAGGTGATTTAATCAAACCAGAGTAAAGGGTGGTCGTGGAGATGGAAGTGGGAAGGTAGGTTGGGCTGGAGGGCCTTGCACGCACACCTAGAACAGTGGGTCTGTCTTCAGTAAGCGCAGGGGAGTAACAGAGTTTTCAAGGGGTGTGGGCAGAACTGTCTGGGTAACGCACATCAGCAGCAGCGTCTGCCCTGTGGGACGGAGTGATGGGGCGGCTGGTAGAGACAGGGTGAGGCCCAGTGGGATGTGCTGGGCAGTGACAGGAGTCAGAGGGGATGCTAGGATGTTGAGCCCTGCTGCCGAGGGGTGGCGGCATCCTCCGAGAAGGGACGGAACGCAGTTGTGTCAGCACATTCACATCCTTGGTCATCCTTGTGTCATTTAACCCTTGCAGTTACTGTTCACTGGTAGACGTGAGGTACCTGTGGGGGCCGGGAGGGGCGAGCAGTGTGGGACAGCCACCCGCATGTGGATGGTGGGGCAAGAGCCCCAGGGGCAGCCGCCCAGGCAGGGGAGGAGCCAGCAAGCACAGACTCCCCGACCCGACCCGAGGGAGGAGAGAGCACCAAGATACCGCTGGGGAGGGCACAGGGCGAGGGCTTGTTCATGCGCCCTGTGCCTTCAGAGGTCCCATCACATCTGGCTCCTTGAGGCTAACCCGCCTGAGAGCCTCCGGGGACCTGCTTTGTCTAATGAGACTTTGGACCTTCCTACAATTTGGAAAATAAGTATATTTGCCCTGGGACTCAGCCTGGACCCAGCACCGAGCGTGTGGCCTGGTTCAGGATTGCTCTGAGTGTGTGTCTCAGCCCTGCAGTGAGTTCCCTGAGGCGAGCGGCCGCCTCCGATCGCTGGGTATCCCTCATATGCCCTCCACATTGGCACTGTTTACTGTACCTACCGCTCCCTCTGACTGGCGGCCACACCCGCTTCTACTGTTTTTATTTGACATTCTCATAAATTTACTAGCTCCTTAAGGCCAGGGACATTGTTTTATTTCAGGCATCAGCACCAGGCAAGTACCCCAAGTGTCTACTACATTTTTATGGTCTAAGAGCTTTTCTGAGCACCTATGTGCAGTAACTCATTTACTTTTCATAAAACCCGATAAGGGAAGTACCAATTTTATCTACATTTAAAAAAAAAATTTTTTTTTTAAGAGGAGGAATTTGAAGCTTGGATGGTCAAATTCTTGCCTAAGGTCACACGGCTAATGAGAGGCTGAGTCAGGATTCAAACTCATGTATGCCAAAGGTCAGGCATCAAGACCGCACCCGACCCATTATGTGTGTGCGTGCACGCGTGAGCCTGTGCCCTCAGCATCAGAGCACATGGTCTGAGCGCAGCTGCAAGCGTTTGAAATGTGGGGCTGGGTGTCTGGCTTCAGTAGGTGAATACATTTGTTGAGAACTAGGCATGGGGCCAGCTTTTCACATTCTCACTGCCTTCCTGAGATTGGAGCCCTGGACGCCCCCCTTTGCCTCTTAGAGTTTGCACTGATTACTGTGCTGTGTGGTCATTGAATTTTCTTCTGTGACCTCAGGCTGGGGTCCTGGGATCCTGTCTGCGTCCCAGGGTGGAACCACAAGGAGCATTTAGCCTCTGTGAATGTGAGTTGCCTGGACTGAGGTGGGAGCCGGAGGCCGACTCCTGCAGCCTTCTGGGGCAGAGGGGTCTGGGGCAAGACTTTTTGCTTGATCTCCTTTGCACACAGACACAGGGAGATTTTGCATGACTTTGGTGATACACAGAGTACCTCTTTATAATGTCAAATCCTAGAGGGTAACTGGGGATGGTATGTGAAAGGAATAATGTGTACTGGAATGCTTTATTCCCTTAAGCAGAGCAAATGCCCCAAGTGTAGGAACCCCAGCCCTCAGCCCCTTCATTTCTCCCTTGCTGGGGTCCTTGGGCCAGCAACTCACCCTAGCTCTCTGGGACGCAGTGTGTTCTCCTTTGTACAATGAAGAGGTGGGTCTGGGAGTCCCAATCTGTTCTGCATGTGTACTAGAACCAGTGTGCTGCTTATTTATGCACAAAAAAAATTCTTTGAAATACTGTGATGGAGGCATAGTCCTTAATGTCCATCAGTTGGGCACCGGTCAATTCATGCAGAAAACGGTCCTCTGCAACCCATTATAAAGCATGAGATAGATTTACCTACATTCACACTCTGTAAACTCATGTATATATATGTAGCTACAGGTATATAAAGTCTCAAGGACACACACTGAACTATTAGTAGTGGTTTTCCTGGTACATGAGGTTGGCAATGACTAGTAAAGTGGAAGGTATACGTATATGGCAACTCAGTAATACCACCTCGGGCTATATTGTAACTAGAGCAGATTCCCTTATGAACCAAGGAGGCCTGTTCAAGAATGTTCATAACAGGGCGCCTGGGTGGCTCAGTTGGTTAAGCGACTGCCTTCGGCTCAGGTCATAATCCTGGAGTCCCAGGATCGAGTCCCGCATCGGGCTCCCTGCTCGGCAGGGAG